ACACTGTATTGCCTTTCACAAGTCAATTCACTGACTTTAGTTGGCATTAGGGAAAATTAGTACAGACAATCCAGTGAAATCAAGATTATTCCACCTGAAATCATAACAACCTAAATTACACTCTATGTTGAAAAAGAACAGAACTTTGCCACTGCACATGGAGGAGTCATACACACTTAGATATAATGCGGAGAGTAGCAAGTATTGCATGAGGGGACAAAATAGTTTGGTGTATTTGATCAGCAGAAACTGCTAATCAACATTGAATTTGCTTAGCAATTAGAAAACATTGCTTAACATCTATTTACATTCATCATTTTAACACATTATGGCAACTAAATCCAGCACTAAAAGTCTTAGCTCTTTGTAAAGACATCCACTGATGAAAAAGAGGTAAATGGTATGTTTTTATTCTAATAACACTTTCAATCAGCTTCAAACCCAAATATTTAAATGTACCACACAAAGCATTTCATGAATAAAATAGTTCCTGGTATATAAAGTAAAACATCAAAACTGCAAGAAATACCAAACACCTCAGCTGTCACAAAATAATGCAACAGTCGATTAACCAGAGAAAGAAGTGACTTGAAGATATTGCAACTGGACAAGGTTGCCACAAATCGTTTTTCAAATTAATCTATTTTATTTATTTATTTTTGGTGAGACCTCAACACTCTCTTCACAATGTGGTCTCCTTGACTTTTTGAGGAAGAAAATGTCTAGTGACTTTTCAGCGATAATTACCCCTCTCACCTCAAGCATCCTTTATTGTGCATGTCACAAGGTTTTTAGTGAGTTACATTCAAAATGTAATTAAACTACTTTTTGTTATACCAATTAGTATAGCATAAACTTATAGTTAATAATCCATATTTTAATAGTATACAAGTCTTAAATTCTTAATTTTATAAGGAAATATTAAGAAAAGATCCATAATTTCCCCTAGTTTGAGAAATGTGACATTTTTAGCCACGACATAATAGCTCATACAATGGCTACGAGTTTTTCCAGTACAAACTTTTAGGTCATAGTTCCATCATCTTTTGACTGATTTGAGATCTAATTACAATTTTTGACTCAGGAGGTCAAACCTTTTCAATTAATATATTTGATCATGCCCAAAGTATCATAGATTAATTTACTCTAATCCAGCCAAAAAGAATTTCAAGTGCTATGGCTATGAGGAAACCCTCTTGTTTCTCTAGGCATCCCCCCTTTTCTAATTTAACACCCTTCCAAGTAACGTAAATTACTCATTATAATATTTTCATCACTCAAACAAGGCATAATTTCCATAGCCTTCAATTTTGTTTGTTACAAAGCCATCAAATCTGTCCTTTCTTTCCACACCCACCTGTCACATCCTCTCTTTCAGGATGTGTCATTGATTCTCTATTACATTTAATACTATATTGTTTTGAACCAATATAAAGCCAGGGTTTTCATATTATGTTACGTTGTTTTCTGTACAGAAAAATGTTAATTTATCTTTCAGTACAAGCTCCATTTCCACGAGAAACACATTGACTAGCTTGGATGAATTTGTAACGGCTCTTGTGGCACAGTTAAAAAACCAGAAAAATTGTGATAGTAATGGAACATTGTATGTTTTTTGCATGTTATTATGTTACATTCTTTGGTGCATTATTTAATTAAATAAAAAATTATTTAGTGCATTACTATCATAGTATAAAAAAGTAGGACTAAGTGTCATCGACAGTCGATAGCAAATAAAGAGAAGTCCCAGTTTTTATTTCTTGTTTTTCATGTGTATTTTTTTTATTTTTATAAAAGTAACTGAAATGTAAAAATAGGAAACTGTTTCAGTTAATTAAGGTTAGATTAGGTGAGATAAATAATAATAATAATATAATATAAATTTTCACTAGGCACGCACGTGAGCAACTCATGGGTAATGTAATTCAATAGCATAATGTGAGCCGCACTTTCCCCAAGTGTTTTACAACTTATCTTATAATGGCATGAATAGTACTGGTAGTTAGATACGGTTCAAAGGGAAATAAAACAGTAAAATTTAAATATAAATACATGTACACTGTATTTGTACATGTAGTTTTATTTTACAATTTGGTCAAGAAAAGACTATGTTCAGGGACAAATAGTAAAAATACTTCATTAAAAAACTGATTTGTGTACAAATGACTTCTAATGTTTACTAAAAGTATGACACATTTTGCTGTATTAAAAGTTATAGTATTAAGATTATTTACAAGCAAAAATGGTCACATGATCAGTCCTTGGGACCAAGCCCGTATTGAGAGAGTTTGCAAAGGCATCAATGCAGTGCATGTACTGTAGATACATACTCTAGTTGGCTAGGTTGTGGGCACCAACTGGGTGCAATCCAAATGTCATGAACAAACTACTACAAAGTTTATGTGTATGCAATATGCACATGACAAGGTGTGAAAATACTGTATGTGCCGTTTGGTGAGAATTTCCAAGAAATGAACATCAGCTTTGCTATATTAAATTGAAATATTACGGCACTTTCACTGTGCTGTTGGATGTCTCAAAGACAATATACAAGAGAAAAGAATGATTTGCATGTTATGCTAAGCAGAGAGGAAAGTGATTCACAAACTGTGATAGAAACCCAGATATTTTGTCCATTGTGCATGGTCTGCTTTATAGAACTTCCATAACTTGAATAAATATGGCAAGTGGTTCTCACAAAAACTGAGACAGCTGTGCTGTATCTCCTCATCCAAACACTTGATTGAGCCGAGCACTGAACCATACAAATTCAGCATCAAGCATTGCAATGCCTGTCTCTAAATCTTTTCATTTCAGATAGTGACCAGCTATTGTTGTAGTGTTTGGAATTTTATTATTTACTCATTTCGTATTCAAACTCAAGACCTGTCCTATGCCAGGCTTACGTGTACCAATTGAGCTGAAAGGTTAACCCCTAGTGCTTGTCAGTAAGGCATTTTTTTAACAACTCAGACTAACATATTTCCATAGCTCCCTAATGATTCATTCTACCAGTATTGATTTAAATTTACACTGAAATTAGCATTACTGTTGAACTCTCCCCTCAAGATGTTTGTTTGGCTATTAGAACAATGTTTAATAAGTTTAATACTTCCAGAGGAAATTTCTTTGAAAAACTTCATATCGTGGTTCTTGAATATGTTCTAAAAACAGAATAAAAATTGTTACTGTGGAAAATGGTAAAAAGTGACTTTGGTTGATGAAATAACACTAAGCTTCTGTCCTCAGAAAACATTTATTTGAGAAGTTTTGTTCAACTCCACTTTAGAACTTTATCTTGGTAGAAAAAAGGCTGACTGCCACAGGTTACTAATTAGTATATTGGTGTTTTTAGGATACAATAACGTTTTTGTTTTTCTTCTTTGCCATCTTGTAGTTTAGTAAGCAGATCTGTAGAGGACCTCCCTATGGGTAATTGTGGTTCAGCTTCATTGTGTGATAGTTTATCTCTAGGATGTAGCAGGCTTTATTTTAGTACTTTGGGTTTTCAAACCTTTAATCTTTGCTTTGTACAATGGAAAAATTGCTTAGAACAAATATGAACCAACTTCAGCTGTTATTATTTGTTGTGTCATCCAATGGAACAGCAGTAAGTTTTTGGACTTATAATGCTAAAATCTGAGGTTCAATTCCTTGTGGTGGACACAGTAGATAGCCCAATATGGCTTTGCTCTAAAACAAACAAAAGAGCAATAATTATTTGTAGTTAAATAAAGGTAAAAAAAATATATAAACTTTTTATACTGTAAGTGAAGGATGAAAGCAGAATTATAGAGGCTGGACTAGACTTTCAGTCATAGAGCATCCATCCTCGTGAAGAGTAAAGATATATCAGGCATATCTTATGTTTTCTACTTGCTTTAGTGATACATAAAGTTTTTACAAATTTTCGTTTGTTTAGTTTGTCTGCAGTTTTAGCATAAATATGTGGTCCAAAAATCACTGAGATTGCCCTATTCTAGTTACTTTGTTGTTCTCTGTAGTAGATACGTCTGTTCTGCTAGCAAAGGTGTTACATTAGTATATAGCATCTGGGTTGAAAGGACCAGCACCGTAATATCATTTGCTGGCTGAGTTGACATTGTATATAGGTAACAGCCAATTGATGCTTTTAGAGAACAACGGTCTTGAGGTGATGCTGTTAACTGGACAAAGAAACCAATCTTACTTGTTGAATTCAGGCATGCTTTCTTGGTTCAGTTCTACTTAGAAGATCATTGAGTAAAGACTTGCATCAAGATCATCATGTTTAATTCTACAGAGATCAATCCCAAGAGAAAGAAAGCTGTGAGACTAAGCACAGCCTAGTAGAAATGACTGTCATTTAGTGTGCATAAGTATGGTGTGTTTTCTTTTTGTTTGTCAAATAATAAAGATTTTTATTATTTTTACCACCTTTGTCCTGTCGCATTATACTACACTCAGTCTGATTTAGAATCACTCTTCTTATTTCCTGAACGAATCTGCAGTTATTAGTAGATCCATCTGATACTTCTCAGGAAATCAGTATTTCTTACTTGAAAATACCACACTGTGTTGAAGATTCCAGCTCTGTTGTTATTTTGTGCATAGACATGTTTAGAAAAGTTCTAAACCAGATTTTTCATAGTTTCTGCACATTTGTTTGATGGTGATTGTCTACAAATTCTTTGAAACTCTAATGATCTACTGTGTATAGTTCAGTAATTGTTTCTATATGACTTTTTAACGAATATAATTGTTTGAGCATATTTCATTCATAATTTTAATTGTAAAAAGACTGTGTAGAGAGAATTATAGCAAGAACAGCTTTTAAGATACATGTACCATTTAATAGAAATTTATATGTAGACCAAAGAAGTTCATTATTATCTTTATTAGAGCATAATGTTTGACACTACATAGAAATTTATTTGATAATTGATTTAATATATGCATTCATTGTAAACTTATTTTAAGTAAAAGCATAAGATCACATTGAATTTCTTTTTCTATCATAGTTGGAGATCCTACAAATTACATTTCATTTTACGGACTTAGAAATCATGAGACATTGCACAACAATCTGGTAAGTGTAGTGTCTATATTCAATTTATCCTTAAATTGATTTTCACCAATCATAAAAATACATCTTTGTATACAAATGTAAGAGACACTCATAAAGTCAAAATTCCCTTAGAACTGGATGATTTTCTATGTCCCAAATTTTTCTTCTGTTTTCAATGTATAAAAAAAACCACTGCAAATTGGAGTCCTTCTTTTTCGGAAACCCAAAAACTGGGCAGTCTTTGTCTCACCTGATTTTTTTGACAGTACAGTGGGTAAGTCTCAACTATGGCTTGATGTCCTGCAACGGTATTAATCCATAACATTGTATGGACTTGGTTGATTTGACAATTTATTTGAATAATCCTTTTGATAGTAAGGAATATAAACTTATATAAAAATTTGATTTATTAACTATGGTTTGATGCCAGGTTTATGAACCTACATTAATAATAAAGTAATTTAGTTAAATTTTTAATGTAACTTTGTTTAAAGTTTGTGACATGCACTTTCACCTTCCCATTATCAGAGGGTTAATTAATGTAATCAATGTGTAAGGTACTGATAGTTTCATAAAGAGATTGATTTCTTTGTTTGATATTTAACTTTTAAATTTTTATCAAGCTTTGTCAGGCAAAGTGGACATCCTTCACATATGCTCTATACATATTAAGCCATACTGGTGCAAAGACTATCTAATATCAAGAGAAACTCTGTCTGTCTGTGGATGCATCTCCTCCTAAACAAGTTGACCAATCCAAACCAAAACTTGGCATGCTCACTTTGTAGCCCAAAAGCAAACCAAATTCATATTAAACTTTCCCATGTATTAAAAAATAAAAATATTTTATAGAATAACACCTATATCATTACTGCAGTACCTATTGTAATTAGTTGAGTTTCAACAAAACTCATGTCACAACAGAATTATACAAGTCAAAGACTGTAAATAAAATTTAAATACTGAGATATGGGCTGCTTTGAACAAGAAGTGACAACTGCTTTGCCATTTCTGCAAATTTCTTGACTCAACTGTGACACCTCCTCACTTTTGATCCACTTCCCCTGTCCTACAACAATTTTTTTTAGAATGAACACTACTGAAAATCTTCGCAGAGATTTTGCTCATTTTTAGTTAATTTTTGCATGTTTTCTGTGTTTTCAAAAGAAAAAATAACCGAGAAATGTAGGTATCTTAAAACAACCTGCAATATTTTAAAGGTAAGGCATTTAAAGTGTATTACGAGAGCTTTAAAAATAAAGCCCATTATGGACTGAAAGTACACTTTTACTTGTAGACTTTCACTGGATCTGTCAGGCTTTCACCAAGGACAGAGTTGGGTATGTAATTTGCCACTCAAAATATTAATCAACTTGCACATCTACTTAATTAAATAATCAGTTCCTTTTGAGCTACAAAATCTGAATCATGTCTGAGTTTGATATGAAACACCATATAGCAGAACTATCACTAGAGGAAAAAGTGAAAATAATTCAAGAGTTTGAAAATTGTGAGCATGCACTGAGAGCAGAAGCAGACAACTTGATTATTTTTTCATTAAGAAGTGAAATTTGTTTGCTTAAGAAAGAGAACATATGCACGTGAGAGCAGTGCTGCTCTTCTACTTTCTCATAATACACATTTTATAATATTACCAATTTTGTGAGAAAATGGCAATTTGTTAAATAAAGTTTAAGTATTATATAAATATAGTGTATATGAAATGATACATTTGTTATAAAAAAAAATTTCTGGTGATGGGAATAAAGTTTGTTGAAATTTTATGTTTTATTCTAAACTAAGTATGTCATAATTAGTTTATTTAAATAGGTGCTTAAAGCTTATCAAAATAAAAAAGGGATTATTTTATATAATTACAAATAAGAAAGATAAGACAACAACAATATTTAAGTAGACAAAGGACAGTCAAACATTTCTATATAATGGAAATCCCCCTTTAAATGGGAAACTCCTCCAAAGTGAATTTTTGTCTGGTTTGAAAGCTGTTTGATTTAGAGGTACTTATTTAAACTTAGTATATCAGTGACAATGAATCTCTCCCTCTGTTGGCTCATCAGTAAATTTGCAGGCTTGTAATAATAAAGACTGGGGTTCAATGAATTCAGAGGACATAGTGCAAATAGCCCTTTGTGTAGCTTTGTGCCTAAAACACAAAGATGATGAAGGCAACATGGTGTTTCATGTTGTTTTGAGAGTACTTAAGGCAGTGTAGACAAGTAGAGTTTTGGTTTTAATGGACTGTTTTTTGTTGGTATTAACTGTGTAGTATTTTTTATGGTGTGTTAAATGTGTGGTCTTTTTTTGTTGGTGTTGGTATTAACTGTGTGGTATTAATTTTTTAGTACTAACTGTAGTATTTTTGTTGGTGTTGGTATTAACTGTGTGGTATTAATTTTGTTTGTATTAACTGTAGTATTTTTTGTTGGGTTAACTGTGTTGTGTTTTTTGTTCGTATTAATTGTATTGTTTTTTGTTGTTGTTGGTATTAACTTTGTTGTATTTTTTGTTGGTATCAATTGTGTAGTACTTTTTGTTGTAATCAATTGTACAGTGTTTTTGTTGGTATCAACTATGTAATGCTATTTTTGTTGTAATTAATTGTACAGTGTTTTTTTGTTGATATAAATTGTGTAGTGAGTTTTTCTTGGTATTAAATGTACAGTTTTTTTTTCATATTAACAGTGTAATGTTATTTTTATTGGTAGTAGCTGTATAGTGTTTTGTTGGTATTAACTGTGTAGTCTTTTTTTGTTAATTAGTATGGTCTTGTGATAGAGTTCCTTCTTATGTACTTGTTTCTCCATGTAAGTAGGTGAATCTGGAAGTGAACAGTGTAGTGTCATCTGTAAAAAAAAACTCTAAAACACCCAAATAAAGTGAAACAACCCATCAGTGAGCCAAAACAAATCGACCCAGTTGTTTTGTTTTGTGTTTCTGTATACCATTTTTCTTAAATAATAAAATCAGAGCTCTATAAATATTCTTTCTACAAAGAAACAGCTCTTGTTCTGAGGGGGTAAATATAATGTATTTTAATTCTTGTTGTGTATTAAAGGTAATAAATAACTCATGTAATACATTATATTCTTCTAAAACTTTCATAATTAATATAAGTTTTTTGATGATAAAAGATTACTCCTTTATATTACACATCAAAACTCCATTTTTTCTTACAAAATACAAAACCATAAGTTTATTAACACTGTGTAATTGATAGTTACCTGCTCATAATCTGTTTTCTGCACATTATTTTGTATCATAAACATTTATGTTTCCAACAAATGTACTTTTGAGGCCTAAAAGTTATGGGTGATTGCTGTTTTAGAACCTTCTCATTTAGAATGCTTCATAAGACTGTGAGATAACATAAAATACACATGAGTTATACACAAAACACCAACAATTACATATATATTAAAACAACAGAGTATATTCCAAAACTATCATAGGAGATTTCACCCAAACTGCCACTTCATATTGAGTATTAATTTTATTTTATTTCTTTATTGTTAACATACTAAAACATAGATGTGAAAGACAAATAGCTTTAGCAAAAATCTTCATTGAAAATATGTATCAAAAATCATTAAGCCAAAAGTTAAGATTATGCTAAGTATCAACAACATTGAACAGCTATGCAACTTTTATGAAAATCAATTTAAAACCTGAAGCTTAATGTATTTAAATTTATCAGTCTAAAAGAAATAGCATAGTTAACTCCCAAATTTGTGAACAATTTATGTTTGCTATTTGCATACATTACTGATATTACTAATTTTGATATTTTCAATGAGCAATAGGAAGCAGTTTGCTATGTTAATAAAATTTGAATACTTTCATTTAAAATATTATGATAAAAAGTTAGAAAACAATGATTAAGGATGCTATTTATAATGATATTCTTTGTTGGCACTACAGGTTACTGAATTAGTGTATGTTCACAGTAAAATGATGATAGTAGATGATCGAACGGTCATCATTGGTTCAGCTAACATCAATGACCGCAGTTTACTGGGTGAGCGAGATAGTGAGATAGCTGCAGTCATGGAAGATGTGGATTTCCAAAAATCTATCATGAATGGAACACCATATCAAGCAGGTGTATTTGCTGGGACTTTAAGAAAATCTCTTTTTAGGTGAATTTATGATTTGAGAATATATTTCTCCATTTTATTGTAGATTAGTATGTCTTAGATTTAATATTTTTGTATTTTACACATAGAATGTTTACATTTAATAATGCTAAATTTAACCTAACAAAATTAGTCCATCAAACAATTTAAAAATGAACTATAGGATAAAGTGCTTTATGAAATGATATTTAAAATTCTTTTAAGTGGTACTAGAAATGAAAGAAAAATGTAAAAATATAGTGCAAATACTTAAATTATCTTTATAAACAATTGTACTGAAATAATAACATTATTATTACCTTCAGTATATTAGTAAAAAAAAAAAAGAGAGAGAAATCACAAACTGAAACTGAACAGGTCAAGAAAAGACACCTACTTGTAGCTGGAGGAGGGAACAAATAACAAACTAAATGCACAAAATAATCAAGTTTAAACCTTTAGGCAATGATGATATATAAAACAAGTTAACAGGCAAAATTAATAAAACATAAATAACCAAACAAAGACAAAAATAGCCTATCCTACTTTTTTTGAGTCCTTCTTTTTTTTACATGTTATTTTATCCAAATTGCATAAAAAAACTGTATGTCCAAAAGTTTTTGTGGACATCTCTGTAAATAGTAACATCCTAGCTATTAAATCCAGAAAGTAGTATTTAAAAATTCACATGAAGAGAAACAATGCCCACATATTATAAAATTGGTAGTTGGTCAAAATTAAAAAAGTTTATGAACACTTACTGATGATTCAATACTACCTCTGAACACAAGGTAAAACTCTAGTTTAAAATTAATAAGTAATGTTGTATACAATTAAGGTATATATAAAAATCTCACCTTTATAATTCCAGATATGAAGAGAACAAATTTTTAAAATAAAAAAAAAGTACTTCTCTTGAAATAGATATGTTATTAGATCATTATGCAACTTTAAATGTGAATTTACAGCTCCGAATAACATAACTGTGATAAGCAAAGAGTTATGTAGTGAACCATAAAAACATTATAGGAATTGGCTTATTATACTTTAAAGCTAGAATAAAAAGTACTGGAAAGTAAGTGAAACTTTAGTTAGAAAGTAGAGGCTATATTCTCAGAGCTGGAGTAAGAAGTTTTGAAAGTAAAGGAAATTGGAACTTTAAAATGGAAAATAGACTTTTACAGCTAGAGTATAAAGAAATGTAAGTGAACTCAGAGCTAAAACATGGAGGATGAACTCCTACAATGATAGAAAGAATTATCTTTAAGAGCTAAAAAGTTAAAAAATTCTTTCAGTTAGAGTAAGAAAGTAAATATAATCACAGTTTAAAAAAAGTCAAAAATAAACACACAACTTGTTAGTGTTTGTAACCTAACAGTATTTTGTTCTAATGAAGCAAATAGTGTATTTAGTATTTTTTGTGACATAAATAATGATTTCCTAGAGAACATCTTGGGCTAGATGAAAAGAATAGTGAAACAGATCTCAGAGATCCAGTCTCAGATACTTTCTATAAGGATGTATGGCTAACTGTTGCTGCACTTAATACTTCCATATTTGAAAAAGTGAGTGATTTTGTTAATAAGGTATTTCTGATTTTTTTTTGTTTTTTTTTATATATTAGTTGTATAATGGTTTGTGGAGTTTAAACTTTCATAAAAGTCTGTGTAGTTTCTGTTTGTGAATGTTCTTCTAAGAATCATGATATGAGTTATCAAAACCAGAATGTACAACATCACAGTGAGCTTTATTAACTGTGACATGTCATATCCCACCTTCTTTTAGCTTGTGTATTTAACACATTAACATTTTTAATTTGTGCTGGAGTTTTTAATCGGTTCTCAATAAATTCTAAGTCAAACGTGAAATTAACCTCAGGTGTTAGTCTCTATGGCAAGGTTCAGTCAAGGAGGTATAAATTATTTCAAGGAATAGTTGTATTGCAGCCAACATTACTCTGTTTGTTTGACTATTTTATGACTGTCACTTAGTGTGGGAAATACCACCAAACTCCAAGAATTTCATTATTTGATTGATAGAACTGTAGAGAAAATGTAAATTTTGAAAATGATTTTGGAGCTTTTAGACATTTTTTTTTACAGCTTTGAAGCAGTCAAGACTTGCTTTGAGGCTTGGTCACGATTTTCTTCTTGTTACTGTTAATGTTCCAGCCAATGACCATGTGTGTTTGGTTCTTAACCTTCAGTTAAACAATTCAGACCCCAATTTAGTTACAGATACAGATTTATTTTTAATTTGTTACAATCTCATGTTAAGTTAATGTATTTTTTAGTTCTTTATCTTTTGACTAAGCTCAGTTAATTTCTTTGATTTCAGTTCAGCAATTCCTGCAACTGGTCATAATCAGTCTTTGTTTTTGTACCTTTCTGTTTTGTTCAGTAAAGTGTTTGATATTGTTCATCTTATGTACTTTATTTCACCCATGTAAAAACACTGTGTTTGTCTTTCAGCATGTTATTGCAATGATCAGGTGACTAATGCTTCTTTCTGTTAATACATTCACTAACATACACTGTGTACATAACTGAGAACACACACACACAAATTCATATGTTAACCTGCGAATGCATAGAATAACTTTTAAACCTTTGAATACACTCACTGGTATTTGTTATTCTGTGAGCAAGCAATAGTATACTAAGTTGTGAACACACACTGGCATATTTATGTTGTTTACACTTTAACAGCTAGGAATGGTTCTAACCTTGTTCACACTATACTTTTGTATTATGTATTTTTTTATGTCGTTCAAAACTGAAATGTAAGCTCTCGCATTAATGACTCCCTGTTAAATATAGTATATGCTAATGAGTGTATTTACAGGGAGACATGCTATTGTATATATTCATATATTAACTGATTAAATGCTTGTAACAGTGTATATGTATTCATATATGAAAATATGCCTTTCACTCTTTGGACCTCATGTTACATCTACCAAAACTCAAAGTTTCATTTGAATTTTAATATACAATACCATATGTAGTGTTAATCTTTATTTTATAAAAAATTATGTTTTAATCATAATCACAGCAACGAAAGACCTAGTGAAAAAGAAATGCAATAACTTGACTTAAAACTTTAACACTAATGACAGTATAAATAATAAAAATTATACAAAATTTCAGGAACTTCTTAGAAATGAGGGTTCTTAGGTTAAAGAGTAAAAAAAGCAAAAACTGATATTTCAGTATACTACTAAATCGATTATACAAAAAAACTAGTAAAATATACATTTACATGAAGCTTTGATTTCTGTAGTTCTTTTCAAAAGCAAAAACAAATACACATATAACTTGATATATACAATAACATACATAAGAATATAGTCTTAAAATACTTCCATTCAAAGTTAACAGTTAAGTATTTTCATTTATATTTTATTGATGTACTTTCAAGACTATAGTACTATAATTTTATGGAATGCACACACACACACACAGTAATAAATACTGTTGTATGTAATAATCAATACAAGTATTTATTATCACATACATACTGCACAAAGCTTTTCCTCTAGAGTATCACTGAAAAATATTTACCAAAAAAAGATAAAGTTTGTGGTATATTTTATTACAATCTTTTAAAAATACACACATTATTTACTGAGGTTCAGTCTATGACTAAAAGAAGCCTATTACTAACTGGAGTTTTTCAAATGTTAATTATTTATTAATGAAGTACTCTGGACTTCCGTTAGAATTATAGTAGCTTAAAAAGTTGCAAAAAGCATGATTTATTTTTATCTTTATACATGACTTTAACACATACCACGGGCAGGTCAAAGTGTGCATGTTGCGACTTTTTAGAGAGTTACATTCAAAATTTAATTAAGTTACTTTATTATTATTATTAGGTATGAATAAACTTGACATCAAAACATAGTTACTAAATCAAATTCTGATATTTTATTAGTTTTAAGTTCTTAATTTTATAAGAAAATATTTTTTTTAAATCCTCAATCTCTCCTAGTATGAGAATTGTGACATTTTCTCTCTAGGTCTTCTCTCTTCTGTAATTTATTTACCAATTTTCTGAGAAGTAAGGAATTTAATGTAAATTACTCATTATAATATAGATATTACTCAGGCAAAACATAATATTTATAGCTACCAATCTTGTTTGCCTACATAGCTATAAACTAGAAAATCAGACCCACTTGCCACACCCACCTGTTACATCCCATCTTTCACAAATTGCCAGCAGTTCTATCTGATGTTTTATACTATATTATTTATAACCAATAGAAAGCGAAAGTTTAACTTATCATATATTACATTGTTTTCTGTATAAAGAATTATCTATTTTGCCTCCAGTTTGATACTATTCTCATGGGAATCACATCAAGGAGCTTAATTGAATTTTTAATGGCTCTTATTGTATAGTTAGAAAGCCATAAAAAATATTATAGTTACAGAACACTGTTTGCTTTGAGCTTGTTATTCTGTGTTCTTAGGTGTGTTACTTATTTTAATAAAAATTATTTAGTGTAGTAGAACCATTAGTATAAAATAAGTTGACTTAGGTTTCATCAACATTCAACAGCAAAAAACAAGAAGACCCAGGTAAGTACTATATTTCTTGTTTTTATGTGTATTCTTTATATATTATTACAAAAGTAACTGTCATCACCCACTAAAGTTTAAGATTTATGCAGTTATAAAAAAATTTTTTTTTTAAACAGTACAGCTAATATACTGTGATATTGCCACTAAAATGCAAAAACAGAGAATTAACACCATTTGAAAGAGTCAGAATCAAATGTTTTCATGATGCTGGTCGTAGTAAAAGAAGAATTATAAAAGACCTCAGCTGTTCACCAAGTCCTATAATATCAAACAAAGCAAGAGAAGGAGAAAAAATCTCAAACTTGCTGAAAGAAATGCTAGATATCTGAAAATCTGTGTCCTGAAAAACTGTTAAAAACCTTGATTATGATATTAACGAGGCATATCACACAGATAAAGATTCAAGAAGTACGGTCTTAAATATAGTCTGAAGAAATGTGACCTTTGAGGAAGAGTAGCAGCAAGAAAAACCTTACTGAGCAAAAATAATATAACAGAGAGACTAGCTTTTGTGAAAGAACAGTTGCAGAAGTTGCTTTGGACAGATGAGTATAAATTTGAACTGTTTGATTCTAACTGGCATATATATGTGTGTGTGTGTGTATGTTTGCCAAAGGGTCAGTGAGAAGGTGCAGAATGAGTGTCTTGTGCTAACAGTTCAAGCATCCAGGAAGCTCTGTGATGGTTTGGGGCACAATATCTACATATGGTGTTTTCCATTTTCACAAAATCGATAGCAACATGGATCAGCAAAAATACCACAGTATATTAGTATATCATGTTATACCTTCTAGAAAGAAGCTAATGTGGTAGCATATCATATTTCAATAAGATATTGACCCTAAACACACGTCCAAGAAATTTTCGGTTTATTATGCAATGAAAGAAAGTTCAAGAGATCTCCAGACCTTAACCCCATGTAACCAATCTGGAGTTTTCTGGACTCCATCCATGCTTGACAAGCATATCAACTGTACTAAAGAAAGCCTATGGACAAAGCTTTAAAACAATGGAATCCAATTACATCAGCAAAAATACATAAACATAATACCACAAAAATGCCAAGCTGTTAGTGATGCCAAAGGTAGCCATGTTAAATATTGTCATGTAAGACTAATTTGCAATAATTACAAATCAATGACTATTTTGTGTATAAAGCTCATAAAATGACAGTTTTGTAGGTGTTTAGTAAATTTACACACTAATGTATACATGAAGGAAGATCTTAAACATAGATATAAATTAGAGGAATTAATTAAATGTAGTATCTATGTTACAATGAGGATACTTGTATGGAGGTTAGTTCTTACACTTCTAGGTGATAACTGAATTAGAGAACTTGCATTAAGTCAAAATCTAACCTATATCTGCATAAAAACATGTTTATTATTATATACTCTGCTCTTTGGCTTTTAAAATGTTCTCTCTGGGAGCACCATATGCTTAGAAATGCAGAAGTATATTTATCTAAAGATATTCAAGAATGGGCTGTATAAGGAATTCATTGTTTTTAACAAAACTAATTATTAAAAGTGTTGAAACTATTTATACATTTTGGTAATTTGGTAGGCAGTGATTAATTTGGAAAATGTTGACTTCATACACCAACAACAAAGTACCATGCTTAATACCTTCTAGTATCATTTCTCATTGATATCGTGTGTGTGTACTTTTAATGTTGACTTCATACACCAACAACAAGGTATCCATACTTAATACCTTCTAGTATCACTTCTCATTGATATCATGTGTGTACTTTTAATGTTGACTTGATACCAACAACAAAGTACCATACTTAATACCTTCTAGTATCATTCTCATTGATATCGTGTGTGTGTACTTTTAATGTTGACTTGATACACCAACAAGAAAGTACCATGCTTAATACCTTCTAGTATCATTTCTCATTGATATTGTGTGCGTGTACTTTTAATGTTGACTTCATACACCAACAACAAGGTATCCTATACTTAATACCATCTAGTATCACTTCTCATTGATATCATGTGTGTACTTTTAATGTTGACTTCATACACCAACAACAAGGTATCCATACTTAATACCTTCTAGTATCACTTCTCATTGATATCATGTGTGTACTTTTAATGTTAACTTGATACCAACAACAAAGTATCCATACTTAATACCTTCTAGTATCACTTCTCATTGATATCGTGTGTGTACTTTTAATGTTGACTTCATACACCAACAAGAAAGTACCATAGTTAATACCTTCTAGTATCACTTCTCATTGATATCGTGTGTGTGTACTTTTAATGTTGACTTGATACACCAACAACAAAATACTTAATACCTTCTAGTATCACTTCTCATTGATATCATGTGTGTGTACTGTTAATGTTGACTTCATACACCAACAAGAAAGTACCATACTTAATACCTTCTAGTATCACACGTCATTGATATCATGTGTGTATTTTTTTTATAATTGAGTAAAGAATGTTCTATATCCAGTAATTATGCAACTTGAATGCTAAACTTCACTGAAAGGCTTATTTTGGATTTTGTGAAGTGTCATTTGAGATGTAGTATGTACAAGCTGCATCTGGAGAGAAAACATACTGATTACATTGAAAAGACTTACTTATTTATTTGTTGCCTTAGCTGTCATAATTTCTCACTTACATGAAAATAATAGCATTTTGAAAATGAATACATATAACAGGAGCTCTGGTTGTATGTTGTCTTTTTTCTTCTTTTTTTTGCAGTTATTCTAGTTTAAGTATAAAAATTGGGAAAAATTATGTAAAAAAATGTATTCTATCTGTGCAGTTTAGGGGAATTAAACATACTCTAAAAATGTTTGCAATAAAGTAATGTAATCCTGTTTTTGCTAGTTTATTACTGATCTTCTACTGTATTTATTTTCTGTAGTACCAGTTAATCCATCTGTTTCTTGATTGTATTATCACATGTTACCTTGTATATTTAGGGTCAGGAGCTGGACATTCGGAAGGATTCTATGATGGTGTCTCTATGTTTTGCTCTGAGTCTGTTGGGAAGAAGGGCTCTTGGGACAGTATCTCATCACTCATTTTCAAGGTGAGAGATGTTAAAGTAATGCTCATTGTTCAACCACATTAAAAAAATGTGTATTCACTCTTTATATATATTAATGTAACTTAAGAAATTAGATTCAGTATGATTCAACACTGTAAGACAGTGTAATTTTTTAGTGATATACTTGAAGTAGTATGTGGTCCTAATACAGCAAGGCTTAATAGGTATGTTGCTGTTTCATCTTGTGTCGATAATGGTGATAACAATCCATGTTAACATTGTATTTTATCTGCAGTGTGGACTTTCTTCTGTATGGATTACATGCCCTTTTTAAAGGAGATTTTCGTATTACATCTCTGAGGGATGAATGGGTTTTTCAAGACATGGAGCTGTTAAGAAAAGTTGTAGCACCTAGTGTTCGTATGGCTTTGAAACTCCACCAGGTTTGTTGGACAGCAGATGTTTTAAATATTAATCAGTGGATTAAGAAATGATGACATATCTAATTTAAATATATTTTAAATGGTAATTCTGTAGATACAACATCTAGCATACAAGTGATCCTTGAATTTGATAAAAAGGTATTAAATAAACCAGGTTCTCCTTCACTTTCTGTCTGTTTTCTCTCCAGTTTGTGTTGTATGATTCATAAACTTGGTTTAATGAATGTTTTTGTTTTCAAACAACACGTTTTATCTGTTGTGCCTGTTATTTACTTACAAGCTTCTATGAGGTTTTTTATTCACGTTTGTGTCATCTTCTGTAACTTCAAGTAAAAAAATCATGAAACAGTATTTTTTTTAAAGCAGTATAAAAATGTGTTGAGATGAACATCTTTTCATATACCTAGTTAAACCTATCTACCATTTTGTTGTACGAAAACTTCTAGACAGACTCTTCCCATGAGCAACATTTTGTGACAAGAGTTTCTTTTGTTTGTTGCTCATTGTTTCAGTTTTGCATCTTCATCAATGGCTACAGCTTCGATGACGAGGAACTCACTTTGAGACTAATAATGGCTG